TCAATATTATCATCATTTACTGTTTATTTTTATAGTTTAAGCCTAGTTCATCTCACCTATATCAAGTTAGCAATACCACATGCACGCCGGGATATGGCGTTAAGTGATTAATTTGTCGCTTTTTTGTCGTAAATTTGTCGTGCAAAAAAAAAATTTGTCGCGTTTTTCTTTTTTCTTAAATACCCTGGTAGTGCTAACTTGATATCAAGTTAGCACTACCAACGTCACCCGATGTTCCTACAGACGTTTTATTAGGTGAATAATTTGTCGTTTTTTTGTCGTAAATTTGTCATGCAAAAAATAAGTTTGTCGCGTTTTTCTTTTTTCTTAAATACCCTGGTAGTGCTAACTTGATATCAAGTTAACATTACCAACGTCACCCGATGTTCCTACAGAAGTTTTATTAGGTGAATAATTTGTCGTTTTTTTGTCGTATATTTGTCGTGCAAAAAAAAAATTTGTCGCGTTTTTCTTTTTTCCTAAATACCCTGGTAGTTCTTACTAGATATCAAGTTAACATTACCAACGTCACCCGATGTTCCTACAGAAGTTTTATTAGGTGAATAATTTGTCGCTTTTTTGTCGTAAATTTGTCGTGCAAAAATAAAAAATTGTCGCGTTTTTCTTTTTTCTTAAATACCCTGGTAGTGCTAACTTGATATCAAGTTAGCACTATCAGGGTATTTAAGAAAAAAGATAAACGCGACAAATTAGCATTACCAGGGTGTTTAGGAAAAAAGAAAAACGCGACAATTTTTTTTTTGCACAACAAATTTACGACAAAAAAACTACAAATTATTCACCTAATAAAACTTCTGTAGGAAGATCGGGTGACGTTGGTAGTGTTAACTTGATATCAAGTTACCACTACCAGGGTATTTAAGGAAAAAGATGAACGCGACAAATTAGCATTACCAGGGTATTCAAGAAAAAAGAAAAACGCGACAATTTTTTTTTTTGCGCGACAAATTTGCGACAAAAAAACGACAAATTATTCACCTAATAAAACTTCTGTAGGAACATCGGGTGACGTTGGTAGCGCTAACTTCATATCAAGTTAGCCTACCAGGGTATTTAAGAAAAAAGAAAAACGCGACAAATTTATTTTTTGCACGACAAATTTACGACAAAAAAGCGACAAATTATTCACCTAATAAAACTTCTGTAGGAACATCGGGTGACGTTGGTAGCGCTAACTTGATATCAAGTTAGCACTACCAGGGTATTTAAGAAAAAAGAAAAACGCGACAAACTTATTTTTTGCACGACAAATTTACGACAAAAAAACGACAAATTATTCACCTAATAAAACTTCTGTAGGAACATCGGGTGACGTTGGTAGTGCTTACTTGATATCAAGTTAGCAATACCAGGGTATTTAAGAAAAAAGAAAAACGCGACAAATTTTTTTTTTGCGCGACAAATTTGCGACAAAAAAAACGACAAATTATTCACCCAATAAAACTTCTGTAGGAACATCGGGTGACGTTGGTAGCGCTAACTTGATATCAAGTTAGCCTACCAGGGTATTTAAGAAAAAAGAAAAACGCGACAAACTTATTTTTTGCACGACAAATTTACGACAAAAAAACGACAAATTATTCACCTAATAAAACTTCTGTAGGAACATCGGGTGACGTTGGTAGAGACTTTGTTGGTAGTACTTACTTGATATCAAGTTAGCAATACCAGGGTATTTAAGAAAAAAGAAAAACGCGACAATTTTTTTTTTTGCGCGACAAATTTGCGACAAAAAAAACGATAAATTATTCACCTAATAAAACTTCTGTAGGAACATCGGGTGACGTTGGTAGCGCTAACTTGATATCAAGTTAGCACTACCAGGGTATTTAAGAAAAAAGAAAAACGCGACAAACTTATTTTTTGCACGACAAATTTACGACAAAAAAACGACAAATTATTCACCTAATAAAACTTCTGTAGGAACATCGGGTGACGTTGGTAGTACTTACTTGATATCAAGTTAGCAATACCAGGGTATTTAAGAAAAAAGAAAAACGCGACAAATTTATTTTTTGCACGACAAATTTACGACAAAAAAACGACAAATTATTCACCTAATAAAACTTCTGTAGGAACATCGGGTGACGTTGGTAGTACTTACTTGATATCAAGTTAGCAATACCAGGGTATTTAAGAAAAAAGAAAAACGCGACAAATTTTTTTTTTGCGCGACAAATTTGCGACAAAAAAAACGACAAATTATTCACCCAATAAAACTTCTGTAGGAACATCGGGTGACGTTGGTAGCGCTAACTTGATATCAAGTTAGCCTACCAGGGTATTTAAGAAAAAAGAAAAACGCGACAAACTTATTTTTTGCACGACAAATTTACGACAAAAAAACGACAAATTATTCACCTAATAAAACTTCTGTAGGAACATCGGGTGACGTTGGTAGAGACTTTGTTGGTAGTACTTACTTGATATCAAGTTAGCAATACCAGGGTATTTAAGAAAAAAGAAAAACGCGACAATTTTTTTTTTTGCGCGACAAATTTGCGACAAAAAAAACGATAAATTATTCACCTAATAAAACTTCTGTAGGAACATCGGGTGACGTTGGTAGCGCTAACTTGATATCAAGTTAGCACTACCAGGGTATTTAAGAAAAAAGAAAAACGCGACAAACTTATTTTTTGCACGACAAATTTACGACAAAAAAACGACAAATTATTCACCTAATAAAACTTCTGTAGGAACATCGGGTGACGTTGGTAGTACTTACTTGATATCAAGTTAGCAATACCAGGGTATTTAAGAAAAAAGAAAAACGCGACAAATTTTTTTTTTGCGCGACAAATTTGCGACAAAAAAAACGACAAATTATTCACCCAATAAAACTTCTGTAGGAACATCGGGTGACGTTGGTAGCGCTAACTTGATATCAAGTTAGCCTACCAGGGTATTTAAGAAAAAAGAAAAACGCGACAAACTTATTTTTTGCACGACAAATTTACGACAAAAAAACGACAAATTATTCACCTAATAAAACTTCTGTAGGAACATCGGGTGACGTTGGTAGAGACTTTGTTGGTAGTACTTACTTGATATCAAGTTAGCAATACCAGGGTATTTAAGAAAAAAGAAAAACGCGACAATTTTTTTTTTTGCGCGACAAATTTGCGACAAAAAAAACGATAAATTATTCACCTAATAAAACTTCTGTAGGAACATCGGGTGACGTTGGTAGCGCTAACTTGATATCAAGTTAGCACTACCAGGGTATTTAAGAAAAAAGAAAAACGCGACAAACTTATTTTTTGCACGACAAATTTACGACAAAAAAACGACAAATTATTCACCTAATAAAACTTCTGTAGGAACATCGGGTGACGTTGGTAGTACTTACTTGATATCAAGTTAGCAATACCAGGGTATTTAAGAAAAAAGAAAAACGCGACAAATTTTTTTTTTGCGCGACAAATTTGCGACAAAAAAAACGACAAATTATTCACCCAATAAAACTTCTGTAGGAACATCGGGTGACGTTGGTAGCGCTAACTTGATATCAAGTTAGCCTACCAGGGTATTTAAGAAAAAAGAAAAACGCGACAAACTTATTTTTTGCACGACAAATTTACGACAAAAAAACGACAAATTATTCACCTAATAAAACTTCTGTAGGAACATCGGGTGACGTTGGTAGAGACTTTGTTGGTAGTACTTACTTGATATCAAGTTAGCAATACCAGGGTATTTAAGAAAAAAGAAAAACGCGACAATTTTTTTTTTTGCGCGACAAATTTGCGACAAAAAAAACGATAAATTATTCACCTAATAAAACTTCTGTAGGAACATCGGGTGACGTTGGTAGCGCTAACTTGATATCAAGTTAGCACTACCAGGGTATTTAAGAAAAAAGAAAAACGCGACAAACTTATTTTTTGCATGACAAATTTACGACAAAAAAACGACAAATTATTCACCTAATAAAACTTCTGTAGGAACATCGGGTGACGTTGGTAGTGCTTACTTGATATCAAGTTAGCAATACCAATCTAGGTCATCCTTACATCCCCATGTTATTTTATATTTTTGAAGATAAAAACGAATTTCAGTATTAGTCTTGGCTTAGCTGTGTTATAGTCAAAAGCAATTGGCACTCAATTTTTATTTAAACTTTGTTTAACCCTCGGGCAGGCGCGCTATCGGCCTTTTATGCCGCCTTTTTACTAATTCAAGGATTCCGCAAATATTGTGGATTTTATCATATTGTCCGTCTAGCTATGTTCAAATGACTATATCAGGAAACCTACTACGTACAATTTACGACCCTAGAGCGTTTGTTCAGATGTCAGTGAGTTCTTGAACTTGCAGATGTTGAGTTTTCGGCATTCCGTGCCGCCAGCGCGCCTGGTCATGTAAGTAAAATTACAAGGGGAATAGCACAAATATATGAATATTATTTTTGTGTTTTTGCGAAATTTCATTTAGTTGCCTAGAATTTTAATTTATTCTATTTTTTTACTCTATTTAAAAATAAATTTTGATGTTTTGAATTATTTCGTATGTTTTTCTGCTGGCGGCACGCAATGCCGCAGCGCGCCCGCTCATGTGATTTTCGAATGCGCGCCTGCCCTAGGGTTAAAATCATTCAAGAAATTTTGTACATACCTATACTAATTCAAGTTTGGGTATATATGCCTACTTATTTAATCAATAAATTAAGGATTAATTATTTAATTCTGTCGTTTTATTGTGCACTTGTGAATCAGCAATCTCATTAAAAACGGAAAATGGAAATGCCCATTTTAATCCCGTTCACCCGGAACTAGCAAATTTACTCCATTAATAAAATAAAAACTAATGAATTCTTTGATTCACTCTAACCTACTTTAAAATAATTATTTCAGATATTTAGAGTACATTTAAGATGATTCTGGAGTAAAAAGTGTAAAATGCCGGTTACGCCGGGTCGTCGTTAGAACACCCGTAGCCAGCCTACCAACCAATAAAACAAAATCGTCTTGGCTTACCTATTAATTCCTGAGGTAGAACAACCAAAAAAAAGCACTTAAATGTTCCAAAAAAAAAAAGAAAAAAATTCAATTGAACAGTTTTTTTCTCACGCACGGAATATGGAGCACGAACGAAATGTCTGTTGACACGGCAATAAAAACTTTCAGTACGACAGCACTCTTCTTAATTTGCACGGTCAACTTTGTATACATTCTAAAAAAACTTAGAACAAGGAGTAAAGTCTCAGCAAAAAGACGTTCGAAAAGTTCGGGTTGGAGCGGCGGCCCGTCTGAACACTACAAATGCCGGCAGAGGTCTGATTCCGGCTCTTTTCCCTGACAGAAAATTCACTACTCGGTCGTTTCCTCGAGGTTGCCGGTTGCCGGTTCTATCCGCGTATGAAACATTCCGTAAATTTATTTCGCTTTAAATTCACTTTTAACTTTTGGCAACTGGTTCATTAGAAAGCTTACACTTCAACTAAACACAAAGTGCTAGTTGTTCCAAGTGTCCTGGAGTACTATCAATAAAAATTTACCGAAAACGATTCAGTTTAGGATCTAGTTTACGGGGCGCAATGGGCGGGATACGCCACGCCGCACTATAGGCGGCAAAATTTCGCGACGTTGCCGCGCTGTGCGTCTAGTCCCCGGCTTCTACAGGGTGGATTATTTCGAAGGTCATTTTTATTTAATTAATTTATCGCTTCTTCATTCATTAACATTTTATAAAGGTTGTTTAGCGGCGAGGCAAGTGTTTTAATGCGAAATTTTGCCTTTGTATTTAATGTCTTCAGCGAGCTTTTAGCTTGATCAGTGGCGCACCAACTGTTGATAATTTTTTAAGGGGAATCCCATAATTGCAATTAGTAACTTACCTTCCTACTTCACTGTATGTATTTTTCAAATTCGCACCAACAAAATTCAAATTGATATACTTTATTCATATAATTTTGCTCGAAATCTAAACAATTTTTAAGAAATTAGGTTAACACAGAATTAAAACGTCTGTCGCCATAGGGTGAATTGATGTTTGATATTCAAGATGGCGTAGCGGCATAACAAACTAGCTATCTTTGTTTAGTGAATGGAAAATGACAATAACCGACATAGAATGGTGGATCCATTGGTGAAGTAAAAATTGATGAGAATAAACACGCAGGAGGGGTCCACTGTATATTTTCTGTGCATTTCTAAAGTGTCCCTAAAAGTCTAAAGACCTATAGGGTTGTATGATGGCTCATTCATTGTGAAGCTTGTTCAATGCTCTAAAACTATTGCCACAGTAGCAAAACCATCCGATTCTTAGTTTTCGAAATACAGTGAAATAAACAATGTTTTTGCACTAAATATTGTTTATAAAATCCCCTAAAAGTAATTAGATGTTGCATTTTTGGTTTTTAGAATCTATAAATGATCCTTAACAATATTGCATCGATAGTTTGCTGTTAAATTTTATGTTAAAATATGGCTGTTATTTCGCTAAGTGCCTTGGCCTATCTAAGCTTGAAATAGTTATCTACCAATAAAATACCTGGGCATCAGGTACAAAATGGACCCCAAGAAGCTGTGCAAATGTCAAAAACATATTACATGTACCACAGCAACGCCAAAAATATTTTTTTTTTATCAAAAACCTTCTCGAACTGATAAAAACACTTTAGAAATTCACAGAAAATACAGTTCCTTATGGCGTGTTTATTCTCAAATTTTACCGATGGATCCACCATTCTATGTCGGTCATTGTCATTTTGCATTCACTAAACAAAGATAGCTAGTTTGTTATACCACAACGCCATCTTGAACGTCTAACATCAAATCACCCTATATCCTTTTTCGAATATGATAAGTAGGTAGATATTGTTCGTCGATTTTCAACTGACACTTTCCGTATGAGGAGCGAGGGGATGTTTTATATGGCAAAAACAGGTGTGACATCAGGTAACCATTGGCGTTCTAATTTAGGGAGCCACCAGCTCACATTCCGTCCGAGTATCAGATTAAAATCGACGGACAATATATCGTTTTATTCATATAATCATCAAACTTAAGCTAAGTAACCCAATTCTAATATGTAAATGATAAAATTTAAAAAAATCGAAGGAAAACGGGGAAAACACAACTTACGTGTATTTATCGTAAAGTTCGAGTAAACGCTCAGAGCTTATGTTTTGTTCTTTTATGGCTGTTTTTCTCATCATAAGGAAAAGACGGAAAATGCTCCGAGCGCTCAGTGCGTCAAGACGAACTCACGGAATAATGGACGGTTGCTGACAGACACTGACAAATCATACTTGCCAGGTTTTCGGTTTTCCATTCTGGTTTTCCAGTTGTAATTCATTGGTTGCAATGTTTACCCTGGAGTTATGCTTAAACCGGGCCAGGGCCCAGGGGTGACTTGCTATTGGGAAACCGGCCCCTATACAGCTCAGAAGACAAACTCTAGGTCTAAGAGGTTAATGAATTACGTTGAAAACACAAAAAGATACCGTTCTTCTTCCAATGGATATTGGCGATAACATTTTCCCTTAGCTTCTCTATTCCTTGAGGAACCGACATACGTTTAATCACTAAAGAATGACTCGACTTCTAAATAGGTATTAAAAACTCTATAGTTTCTAGTTCTATATTTTCCTACTTTTCACGTGATACTCAAGGGATAGGGGTTAAGGGCCTAAAAATATATTTTGCCCTGAGGCCCACTCGTTTTCCTAGATCCGCCACTGTTTCCCAGCTTCGAATAGACTTATTACATTCCATCTTCCGATTTTCAAAGGTTTTTTTAGATTTGTTCTCATAGGTATTAAATTTGTTACATTTGAAACCCTCCCTCCTTTCGATTACGTTGACAAGGACAAAACATTCATTCTATCGGAGAGGTCTACTTCCTGAGACGAGAATCGGGCCCCTGGCGGGAAAAGATACCCTACAATTTGATTATCATTGACTAAAAATCATGAAACTGTACTCTACCATATACAGGGTGTTTCATTTGGGTTTATCATCGCACTTTTTGTTTTTCAGATACAAAATGTTTTTGAAAATGTTGCTTTTGAGACACCCCTTGTATCTCCGTGTCTCTCATAAAAGTGACCGAAAAGGTGACAACAGAGCATAGGCGCCGGAACCATGGGGGCAATGGCGGCAATGGGGGCAATGGGGGCAATGGGGGCAATGGGCGCAATGAAGGCAATGGGGGCAATGGTGGCTATGGGGGCTTGTGCCTCCGTAGTGTATTTGCTATGGGGGCGGAGCCCCCACAGTGATTTTGGTATTGTATGTAGTGGGTGCAGTGAGTAGGTACAAAAATATTGAGTTCCTGATCCTAACATTCCTAACTATTTATTTTTATATCAAACTTGTGTGTTTTATGTTTTTGTTGTTTTTGTTATAACCACTTTGACAAACAGTTTGACAGATACCCATTACTTAACATAACAGATCTCTTGATAAGTTGGGACGCTGCCAGTATTTCACTGTTAGCGGCTTCCACCAGATCTAGACAACGACATCAAAAAAACCGCATTCAGAACAGAAACAGCATTATAAGTTCTTGCGCATGCCTTTTGGTTTGAAGAATGCGCCGGCTACATTCCAAAGAGTTATGGATGATATTCTATATCCCAATATATTGAGCAACTTTAACACCGAAAGATGGCACATTCCATTAATAATAGTTATTCATTATACAAGGGAAAAATGCATTAGATTTTAAAGCAAGATGTGGTCTGCTTCCCGTCGCGAAGTGGAGGGAGACAACAACAAGGTGGCCAAAAAGTGCTGAGAATGCTGGAGGTGGAACAGGGGAAATCGTTATCTTTCGTTCTCTATTCAACCTTAGAGTGTTTCTAGACATTTCATTCTATGGCGTTAAAATTGGCCTGTTGTTGACCTGTCAAACCTGTACATAGGTAGTTCCGTTTTTGGCCATGCCATTAGCACAGCATTAAGTTTGTTTCGTGCCATAAGTTGAGTTTTTTCCAATTTATTTTGAATGAAAGTGAGGCATCATAGCGAGCGATTTCAGTCCATTTGCTGAAGAGATCTGTATGTCAAAATTGTCTTGTCTACTACCGTTTGAATCAAACAACCGGGCTTCAAGCTATTTGCTCCAAGTTTGTTCCCCATAGTTCGAAGTTTGTTGATTGCATGTTACGGCAAACCGTAGTTGCTACTGAGGATTTATACTTCATTACTCCGTCATAACTACAGATAATTGTACTTTTTTTTTAATATGGCGTTGGATTATTTCCTTTACGCTTACATGATGTACGATAATGACACTGGCCTTTTTAACCTAGTTTATCATGGAAAATGTATATACAGATCGGACAAACCTACTAGACACAAAGGGAGTAAAAAGTCGAATTGGCTTGTAGCCGGTTAAAGCGAATCAAATCGGCATTTTCCCCCTTACCCCAAAGACCTTTAAATTTTATCAATAATTCAAAATGAAAAATACTCAAATACATACATTATAATATAAGTAACGTTCAACTATAAATTTTCATCAAAATTTGTTGAAATAGCCGCATTTCCGTTTACCCCCATCACAATTCCCAAAAATACCGTAAAAAGACCCAAAAATTTCGCAGGTGCGGGGCTTTTCTTCCTGCAACGCTTACGGCGAAATTGCCACTGCTGTGAGGATCACTTCTTGCAAATTTGCCCTTCCTCCCCCCCAAGACCAAATTCTGACTACGCCAATGGTGCTGTCGAAGCTGAGTATAGCCGAGCTGCCGAAGGTGCACGAATTTCAGTGTGGCGATCTTGCAGTGAAATGGGTATCTGTCAACTGGTCCCATTTAAGTTTATGTTGCAGTAGCCTAGTCTTGTCAGTCTACTTATGTTAATTTTTGCAGCCCGAGCCCCCATAGTAATTTTGAAATTCCGACGCCTATGCAACAGAGTTTTATACATCTTCCTACCTAAATTCCAGTGGCGTAGTCAGTTTTTCTCTAAGAGTGATAGTTTTTAAATTATAAATCAGACGTTTTTCAAATGAGACAACCTGTATATTAATAACTTATTGCCTGTTACCCCGACCTCAAATTATAAAGAATTTTGAAAATTGCGTACCTATGCGTTAGATCTTAGATCTAGAGATTGAGTGATTTCCTTACTGATATCCACATGATTTCCCCTAATTTGTAAGTATACCAGACTTTCTTTGTGGTTGACCCCTGAACGGTTTATTGACCGTTTTTACCGTAAAATTGCTTTTTGCAAGGCCAAGAATGGACGATTAGAAGAGGAAGATGTTACATAGTGATCATTGATCAATCTGATCACAATGTTAAATTACACATATTAATAATAATTAGGTACCAAAAATAGCTAAATATATTAGTTAGCTATGTTCCTGGTTGACTCCTAGGTTTACATAATTTTTGTTCTTGAAGCTGAATTTTTTAATTAAAACTAAAAGTTAAATCAAACACACAATTCAGTGTAAAATGCTTGTCCATGGAACCAGTCTGGTGGAACAACGTCACAAGGCAAAGTCCAGA